CTTGATTCGTAACAAACTTGTTTTTATTTAATGTTATTATCGTTCTTCCATACGATGCGTATAATTATGATGATGATGAAGAATTGTAACATCCCAAAATTCAAGACCAAAAATTTCGTTTTAATTAAGTAATTATATAAAACCATCAGTATAAAAACATTCATATTAATATCTCATGTCAAAACCAAAGTGTCAATAATCAAAACATATTATCATAAAACCATATCAGAGTGTAATCCCAAAGATCTCATGTGTGGAAAACATAGTGTGATGCGTTGCGATCAAGCCGACTCCTTTCCTTTGAAAACGAGTACCTGAAACCAAAACTGTAAACTGTAAGCACGAAGCTTAGTGAGTTCCCCCATCATACCACACACCATACAATAACATACTGTCAGGAAATTCTGGGGTGCCTGACTTACCCAGGTCAAGCCATTCTGGGGTGCTTGACTTACCCGTCGGTCTATTTCACCCGACTACCGAGGACTATTTCACCCCTACCACTACCACGCAATAATATAACACACATATACTGACAGACAATTCTGGGGCGCCTGACCTACCCAGGTCAAGCCATTATGGGGTGCTTGACTTACCCGTCGGTCCTTACGACCGACACACGAGGACAATTTCACCTCCTACTACTACCACATAATATCATATCATAACATACTGTCAGATAATTCTGGGGTGCCCGACCTACCCTTCAGTCCTAACGACCGAACTTGGGGACTATTCTCCCCCTACTACCACTATCACATATAACATATCATGCTAGCACATAAACATATCAAGTAGTAGCAAACCTAGATGAATATCACAAAGACAATCATCTAACATACAACTCCTACTGGTTGGCCGACATTGTGGTCGTAGACCCCCGCTACAGGAAGGTAACTCACCTCACACTGCTGAAGTCCCATAGACTCAACCCCACACTGCTGAAGTCCCGCAGACTCAACCCCAGCTGTTGGATGACAGATTCCCGAACTGTCAACACCAAAATAACACCCAATTAATAATCGGGTTCCAATACATAACCATAAGTCCATGTTTGGGGGTAAAAGGCTACTCTACCCCTAACTTGGCTTGATTCAAGCCCTAGGCCCAATCCAAAGGCCCAAAAGTCCAACTATGGCTCAAAGCCCAACATATGGCCCAATTTTCCAAATTGGGCCCAGGCTTATACATGGTCTTATTCTAAGGCCCAACATCATATAATCTTTAAGGTCCAAACTATGGCCCATCTATGACCCAATTTTCCAAATTGGGCCCAAACCCCTTACATGAGCCTTACCGTAGGCCCATTAAATTATTCTAGTCCAATTGCTTGATCTTGGATGGCCCATTAATAACCCAATCATCAAGGCCCGATAGAAAGGCCCAACAATAAACCCAAGTGAAATTAGGGTTTCACATAAAATGACGATTAGGGTTAAGTGTTTCTCACTAAACCCATTAAGGACTTAATCCTCTAAGGACTTAATCCATTAAGTCCAATATTGCTTAGATTAATCTTTGCCAATGATTATTATTTAATATCTCAAGTTATTAAATAATTTCCGTGTGTCCCGGTTAATTCCCCAAATTAGGGTTTTATTGGCATTAGGGTTTTCCAACCCAAATACTAGCCTATTTATCAATTTGTTGGGCTTTTAGGTCAATTAGGGCTTTATTGGGCCTATTAGGCCCACTAGAATATCATTAAGCCCATTAGGGTTTTATTGGGTCAATTAGGGTCTATTAGGGCTTACAAGGCCCATTAGGGTTTCAAGCACCCTAAACGAATCGAACTCAATGAGGGAAGCACACCGCCACCCGACACGGAGGCCGGTGGCGGCAGCCACCACCCTACGGTCGTGGTTTTCAATTTTCTTTTCATTACTTTTCCTTTAGATACATTTTTACAATGCTTAAACTCCAAATAATCACACACACACTAATACAAACACGCTTATAATGACACACACACCTAATTACATAGCAAAACACACATACACACAACCACCTTCCACGGTGGCTGGTGGTGGCGGAAGAGGGCGGCAGGCGGCGGCCACCATGGCTGGCGGCCATGGTGGTTCTTTTCCTTGGTCTCCAGCCAATAAACAACTACCCAAACGAAAACTTGAGCCCTTGCAGAACACGAACCCATCTCAGTCACCATCAAGGTGATGGGCGGCAAACGGAGTGGAACAACATCGGTTAACAGCGGCAATGGCTTGCCCTCTTCAATCCTGACGTCCCGCCGATGATGTTCTTCAGCCACAACAGCAGCAACCACGACTGGTTGCAGTGGATGCGGAGCGTCTTCAACTGGTGGCAACGGTGGTCGTAGCTGCGACACTGTGAGCATGGGGTGGAGAAAGGTGGCGACTAACGGCTGCTAGCTGCTGAGAGACGGGCTCCAAAGCGAGCGGCGAACGGAACGGTACCGGCAACAGCCGAGTGTGGCTGTGATCGGTGACTAGAAAGAGGGAAAGAAGAAGGGAACGACGAAAAGATGGCATCAGCGCTCATAGCTTCATCGGGGAGTCTTTGTCGTCGCCGGCATCGGTGTACAAGGGTGGTGCAACAGCGACTGACGGCGCCGGAAGTAGAGGAAGGAGGTGAGATGAATGGCGGCGGTTGGAACCGAGCATGGCGGCTGAAGAATTAGGTTTAGGGTTTTTGGTGTTGCATACGATTAATAAGAATATATACATATATGGGCTAACGGGGCGATGGGGAAGGGAGTCGGGTTCAAGTCCCGCTCCAACCAAATTTTATACACATATTACATATCAGCCCCCTCCCCATGACATCTTTTCAAATTAAATCTGAGTTTTACAATTTAGTCCCCAACATTTCAGCATCCTTTCCATTTAAGTCTCAATCTTACCAAACAATCCCTGACTCCTGAAAACCCTCACAAATTAAGTCCCAGAAATACACTGTTAGCCCCTGGAGATTCAAATCTTGCCAAACAGCCCCTAGCATCAGAATTCTATTCATGGTTGGTCCGGAAGTTACATTTTAACCCCCGACTTCTAAAAATCTTTACAAAATAAATTATGGATAATCCAATTTATAACATTTGGCTCCCAGAACCAACATCTCACTGAACATTATGAATTTTAGGGCTACTACTCTTTCATAAATTTTATTTATTTATCTATTAAATAAACAGGGTGTTACAAGAATAATGCTAATAAAAGAAAAGTAGAACTACCAATTACCTTATAGTGCATTCTTTCATATGGTATAAACCTTGTAGTGTATTCTTTATGCAGGAATCATATTATTGAGTTCAAGCTTATGTGTATTGAAACCATAAAGATATTACACCCATGAGTTATTGCATTCACATAATCTTCAACTAGATTTGATACACATTCCTATGTAATTTTATTGGTCTAAAACATACATCATCATCGTTCCTATGTCCCCCGACTGTTTTATACTTCCAAATATTTTATCATTTGGATTCAAGATTAGGTTCTTTATTTGGGTTTAAATTAAAGGGGTGTTTGGGATTGTTTTTTTAACCTAAAAAGTCCTTTTTTACTTATGGTTTTTTCCAAAATGAGTTTTTAATATGTGTTTGGATTAACTTTTGAGCGGACAAAAACCAAAAAGCCAAAAATCATCAAAAGTAAGCAATTCATGTCTTCTTGCCAAAAAGGCATTATGAAAAAGACTTTTAGATTTGCCAAACACCTTTTTAAACTTTTGACTTTTTGAAAAAGCCAAAAGTCTAATAAATCAGTTTGAAAAGTAACCCCAAACACCCTCTAAGATTACTTGTTACGCATTTGGAAATCTATAGTATAACGATTTGATTTTAATTCATTTTCTTTTTCTTTTATGACATTGAGTAGCGCTTGAGAGAGAAATAGTAAAAAAGGGTGGATGGTATGGTGGGGTGAGACCATCTTTTAGGTCCCGTTTGATAGTTTCTGTCTGGGAAAGTGCTGTCTGGTAAAGCGCTGTCTGGGAAAGTTTTCTGACTGGAAAAGAAACCATGTTGTTTGATTGTACATCTGATTGACTGTGCTGAATGATGAAAAATGACCATATTACCATAATGTTCTATACTGTGATGGATGAAATTGTTGAATAATTATAAAAACATACAAATTGTAATACAAAATCAAAATTACACAATAATCATTTAAAAATCCAAATACAAAATGTCATACAAAGTAATTAAACATCAATCAATTAAAATCCAAATAGAATATGGATTAGGTTGTTTGTAGTTTATTGTTTTTCAGGTTGATGTTACATTGCTATTCTTTCTAGCTCTTTAGTTTTTTTTATGACCCAACGTGTGATTCTTGGCCCGGTTTATGTCCGATAGTGGTGGGATAGATGAGGTTTTTTAAAATAACTTAGGATGGTGGTGGTGTTGTAAAAAAAAAAGAATTAATCCAATAAAAATGAATTAAAAAATTTAACTAAAAGAAATTAATAATCCAATAAAGTAATATTTATTAATATATAATTATTATATATTATAAATAATATTTATGAATATATAATAATCCAATAAAAAGAATTAATCCATAAAAAGGAAATTAAAAAAAAAGAATTATTTAAAAGAAATTAATAATCCAATAAAATAATATTTATTAATACATAAATATTATATATTAAGAATAATATTTCTTAATATAAAATAATATATCAAAAAAGTAATAATTCAATAAAAAATAAATTAAAAAAAAGTTATTTAAAAAAAATTAATAATCCAAGAAAGAAAGAAAGAGGCGGGGTTTGGGTCATAATTGTTTTTCCAACCCATTCAGCCAGAAAAATATGATTTTGGGGTTTTCTGGGAAAGACATATCTTACCGGGAAAGACCCATTTTTTTGTGCAAATCAAACAGTATTTTCAGTCCATTCAGCCAGAAAGATCTGTTTGGACCTGAAAAGATGCGTATCAGACCTTATTTTTCAAATATTCAAATTATACAAAAATGTTTAAAAATATGTAAAAAACATTAAAATGACAAAACAGT